GGAGCCTGTTCTTGAGGGATCAGCTTCAGTATCACCTTTCCAGAGGTCTGACTCCTCACCCACTCCCCTTTCTACTGGGTGACCCGACAGTCGTCCCTGCAGCTGAATCATCAACTCCTCCTTAGCATCTGAGTGCCCTCACCTCCCCACTCCTATGTGTGTCCTGCTGGGCTGTGAGCTCAAGGCCCTGAGGACTGGGGCTGTCTGTTTCACTTCCACATCCCTGGCATGCAGCACTGTCTGGTTCCAAAGAGGGGCTTTAACATGTTTGTTTGAATGAATGAATGAATGGAGTGAACTCAGCTTCATTTACACACATATTTCTCTTCCACACCTACGGCCTCAACTATAATTTCAGAAAGTCTGTGATTTGCTATGACCAAGACAGTGAGAGGACTCTGAAGAAATTAACAGGGGAAACCAGAAAGGTTATTGCGGCTCTAACCCCTTGTCATATCTTTTCATACATTATCTCCCTATCTATCCATCCATCCATCCATCCATCCATCCATCCACCCACCCACCCACCCACCCAAGGGGACTTTCTTCTCAAAGGACACATGCTGTATTCACTGGAAGAAAGGGTACTGGAATCATGGACTGCAAGGCTTAATCCAAGCACAGGAAAGGATCTGAACCTTTGCACAGGAGGAGATGATGGAGGGCCTCGAAGGGAGAGGATTGCCACCAGGCCTGGTGAGGGCTCTAACCAACGCTGGGGCTGTTTGTGACAGCAACATTGTCTACTCGTTACTGCATTTGTTGTTTTAACAATACCCAGGTGTTCTTGTTTCACGTCACAGATTAGGTTGTACTTTTTGGCTTCAAAATGGAAAGTATTTTTTTCTCTTAAAAATAGCTTTGGCAAAAAATAGTACAGGATATTCTTCAGGAAGTGGAGCTTTCAGGAGAAACCAAGGTGTGGGAAAATGAGTAACCATGTGGGAACCAGAGCAACCGAGCACAGGTCTCCTTCACCCTCAGCACACTCACACACACACTCATACACACACCCCCACACTCATACCCACACACTTACACGCACACTCATACCCACACTCACACACACACTCATACACACACACTCTCACGCAAACTCATACACACACACTCATACCCACATACACCCACCCACACACCTTCCACACACTCACACTCACTCATTGCTATGGTCTGAATGTTTGTGTGTCCCCAAGATTCACATGTGGGAACCCTAATGCCCAGTGTGATGGTGTCAGGAGGTGGGGCCTCAGAGGTGATTAGGCCATGAGGGTGGAGCTCTCATGAATGGGGTTAGAGCTCTGAGAAAAGAGATCCCACAGAACTCCCTGACCCCTTCCGCCATGTGAGGATACAAGAAGTCTGCGACCCAGAAGAGGTCCCTCACCCCACCATGCTGGCACCCTGATCTCGGACTTCCAGGCTCCAGAACCGTGAGAACTAGATTTCTATTGTTTATAAGCTGCCCAGTCTCTGGTATTCTGTTATAGCAGCCTGAACGTACTGAGACAGTCACATATGTACACTCACTCACACACATACTCATATGTACACACCCACACTCACACTCACATCCCTCACACCTACAAAACTCACACACATTCACACACATATCCACACATACCCTTTGCACTCTCACATACATAGACAACATATGTGGACATACGCACACATCACACAGTGACACGTGCACACGCTCACATACTTCACACCCACATTCACACTCACACACACACACACACAGGTACCGCACCCATCCAGCGCCCAGTCATTCTCCTCTAATGTAAACATCCTGCAGAAGCGAAAGGTCACCCTGCACTTCCCAGCCATGAGAGAAGCGTACTCTCACTTTGTTCACAGGCTAATGGGGTTTTACTCGGGGCTTCCTCTGGGCTGAGACCTGAAATTCCCCTCTCTGCAGCGGTGGGGTGTCCCTCTTGTCGGGTTTCCCAGTATTGCTCAAAGTAAAAAAAAACCCACCACATGCACGTCTTCGTTTCCTTTCCCCGAGGAGGCCTGATTTGGGGCCCCCACAAGCCACCTGATCTGCCTGCAGCGTTTCTCTCTAGTCTGACGTTTAGACGAGTCCCTTCTGTCATCACCCTGTCAAATTCCAGAGCCTTCCATAGAGTGGCGTGAGGAATCCCCAGTGGGACATGTGGGACAGCAGTGGTTCCAAACAGAAGGGGCAGTGATATCTGCCTGGGAAAGGCTCCCAGAGACAAGCACCATATCCCCCGAAATCCACTCATCAGAAATTGCTTTACCTCCCTAGACCTCTTTCCACGTTTAAAAGAGTGATGGGGGGCCGGCTTGGTGGTGTAGTGGTTAAGTTTGTGCGCTGTGCTTCGGGCGGCCGGGGGTTTGCGGGTTCAGATCCCTGGCGTGGACCTAGGCACTGCTTGTCAAGCCCTGCTGTGGCAGGCGTCCCACATATAAAGTAGAGGAAGACAGGCATGGATGTTAGCCCAGGGCCAGTCTTCCCCAGCAAGGGGAGGAGGATTGGCAACAGATGTTAGGCCAGGGCTAATCTTCCTCACAAAAAAAAAAAAAAAAAAAAGAGTGGTGGGACTGCTTGCTGGCTAAATTCCCTCTGGCTCTAGAGGTCTGTGATCTGTGGTTCTCGGTCCAAAGCAGGCCTGCTCATCTCAGTACCTGTGGTCAGTGTTCATTCCCACTCCCAGGTGAGGGGCCTGTTTAGGGCCATTGAAGAAGCGCAAGATGTGGCAGGAAAGGACTTTATCTCGTAGCAGCCCTGCAAATCTGAGGACTAGAGCCAACTTTCCTATGGGGCCCCTCACGCTGGACAGTCACTGAAGGTTTTGAAGGCGCCCTGTCATGACCACCATCTGGTGCCAAGTTTAGAAGCTTCTAGTATTTACATTTTTGGTTTCTTATTCAAGCCAGTTCCAGTCCAAAGCACCCACAATTCTGGCTCCACAAAAGGAAAGATTTTCTAGCAATAAGAGATGCCCATCATGCATGGGCTGCACACAAAGTGGAATTCTCCCTGTCCCAGAAGGTCCCAGCAGAGACATCTGTCTGTCCTGGGTGGAGTGGGAGCAATGTTTATCAGAGGATGGGCGGACTAGAGGAGAATTAAAGTCCTTTTGAATTCCAAGACCTCATTTTAGAACCTAAGCTTTGTGAGGATTAGGAACAAGACTAAAATGAGAAGCAGAGAAGAATTTGCATTTTTGCTAAGCATCACCTGTGGGAATGAATGTTTATTCTACTTTCAAAGTACCCCCATCGTGCCTGTTCTAAAGGCTCTTTGTTACACAGAGAAGCACACAGGCACGGCACCGGGTGTGTTGCTTTCACTGTTAGGATAATTTGTGACGCAGCACCATTTCACTTTTCCTTGGTGGCCCCAGGGATTGTTCTAGTTTGTGTCCTCTCATTTACAGATCCCCACAACCATCTCATCAGCTACACAGATGCCAGTATCATTACCCTCGTTCTACTGAGAGCAACCTGGAGCAGAGAAGAGTGAGGTGGGACTAACACAGCGTATCTTTTCGGATCATTGTTGAGGATGTTTTGGGAGGAGGAATCTTCATGGGAAGAGGAATTTTGGTTTTAACTAGTCACTTACTTGTAAAAATGAAAGCCAACAGCCAAGAATTGTGCTGGGTTCTTCTATTATATTCACAAACTATGGCTGCTGTAAAAGTCTTGCTTTGAGAATTGTCTTGCTTTTAAAAATGGCTTTATTTTAAAATAAATTTTAAACTGCAGTTTTAGTTTCAGAGTGAAGAGCTTGATTATGACTCAGCCGGCTATTTATAGCAGTCTCCTCTTACACCAGACGTTGTGTGTGTGAGAGAGAGAGAAAGGAAAAGAGGGAGAAAGAGCTCATTTCTTAAAACTGAAGAAGACTGCAATTATCAAAATGTCTCATCCTAACCCCCTCAGAGGACTTTACCTTCATACTCTGACTCTTCTAGTTTCACGCCGATCAGCTTCATAATTCCAAAACTGTTTACTTACCCTTAACTGGAAAAGGTGTAGTGAGCGGGCTGTGGTTTTGGGAACTAAAGAGGAGTACAGCTCACCTGAACACCTCTTCTTATGGGCATGCCAATTCAAACAGGATTTTCTTCCAGCAAAGATGAGTCATGCTGTAGCAGAAAGAGTTCTGTCCCCGCTCTGCGCTTGGGAGCTGGGCGACTTTGGGAAGAACTTCCGATCTCTGACCCTCAGTTTTCCCATTTGTTCAGTGGGGGATACCTGGTACCTACCTCCCAAGGTTTTCCTTAGGATTAAATGAAATGACAATGCGAGCTTTTGGCACTTTGTGAAACCTTCACACTCTGTAACAACATCAGGCCTCGTTGTTTACTGGAAGGTTGTTGGGTTTACTACTATCTTCCTGCTGTTTCCGAGGAGGAGCTGCTTTCTCCCCCTGTTTGTGTTATTTTCTACTATTATTAGTGTTTCTGAGGTACCACAGCTTTCTTTCCACCCTCTCCCTTTTCAATGACTACAGAAAATATATTCCTAAATATCCACATCCACGGATTCCCATCTTTAATTTCCCAAAAAGTGAATAAGTAAGGTGGCCTGGTCACTGCTGGGCATATTGTATGTAGGAGACAGAAGGGTGGGCAGAGAGGGGACATGAGTCAGAAGAGATGGCTTAGGGGCGTCAGAGGGTGGACATGCTTGCAACCTTGATCCGATTGGAGGTGGAGAAGGAAAAGATGTGATTGTGTGGAGGAAGGAACTCAGCCAGACCTCTCCCCCTCATCTGGCACAAGTAAGTGACAGTGACTCAAGAATCATGGGGATGTGGCTGAGCAAATGAGCTCCAACAACGTCTCTGAAGTCTCTTATCAAAGCCATTGTGGAAATAAAAGGTCTTTTTCTGGTCTTGAAACTTATTGTTCAAATATATAATTCTCTTTATATGTCAATTATATCTCAATAAAAACAAAATAAAACAAAAAACCAAATATATAATTCTCCTGAATTTTAAGTTGACACTGAAAACTTACCTTCCAGAAAAGAGAAATCTGTTGTCTATTGTAGTCAAAGTGCTGTTTCGTGTACCAGACATCTAACATCCCAGTAGGCTCTGTTTTGAAGGGGAAAAATCATATTTTCATACACACATACACAGACACACACACAATATAAAAACTTTAAAAGTCAATTGGTTATTCAATAAATGATTCTGGGAGAGTAGGCTTATAGCATAATTTCAATTTTCTTTGTGCCCCAGTATTTTCCTTTTTCTTATGTTAAACAATGAACATGTATATCTTTGGCCACAGAAGTCAGAAAAAACAAGGTTACCTTAAAAACAAATTTTAAAAAATGATGAGGAAATTAGATTCCTAATTTACTCTTAAAACATGTATTAATAAAATAACTCAAAGAAAGTATGTGTGGTTCTTTTTCGTTGGAATGCAGAAAGAATTCTCAGCAGAAAAATAAAGACATAAATCATAAGGAAAACATTTTTTGATCCTGTAAAAACACAAAATACAAATGATAAACTTTGTGTTCATCTCCATTCCTGAACTTTCCACGTTATAGTATAATTATTTGGTTTTATGGTCATTAGACAATGATCTACTTGAAAAGAAGCCCTATCTCATTCATCTTAATATTCCTCAAACCCAGCACAGTGCTTAGAATGTAACAGGCTTCCAGTAACTCTTTGTTCAATGATGAATGGACAAATAGACAAATCAAGCAACATTATCGACTTGGTGCTGAAACACAGGCTGAACTGATAGAAGAAATAACCACCAGTCTGTAAGACAATGGTCAAATATGACCTAATTTAGTTTGAGAAAGTCAATCAAACATACTTGAAAAGAAACTGAACAGACAGCTCCTGTGTATAAAAGTGTGTGTATGTGTGAGTGTGTGTGTGTGTGTGTGTAGTAGTTTTATTTCTCCCACTATCAGCTGTTTTGATTTACACCCAGGAGTGGAATCAATAGGAGCAACCACTGAAAACAGGCTTCAGTTACACCAACCTAACTTGTTTAATAGTCACTTAGAGTGCATCTGAGGTGAGGCTACATTGAGGTTCCTTCTGGAGTAGTAAGTTCCATTTAGCCAGATGGAAATTTCCAGAAAATTAAGTCTCACCTGGATAAGAGAAGATAAGCAGCCAGGGAGAGGTGAAGAGAAAGAGGGAAAGGAAGGGAGCACATGTACCAGCACACACTCCAGGCAGGTCCTGTGTGGCCCTTTCACAGCTATATCTCACGTCCTCCTCACTCCCGTGACGTACACAGCTTTAGTGCGGCGGTTAAAGTGTGAGCTCCAGAGCCATCTACGGACAAATCCCGGCTCTGTGATCTTGAACAAATGTTAACCACATCCTTAGCCAGTTTCCCCACCCGTCCAACGAGGATTGTAATTCTACGCATGAGGCTGTTGTGAGAGTTTGAATGAATAGAAGAGTGCTCACACACGGTGAGCAGTTGGTAAATTTAGCTGTGCTGTTTTCTTCATTTGAAAACTGAAGTGCCAAGAGGCAAAGCAACCTGTTCAAGAGCCCCTGCTAATTGGAGAAGGCAGGCTTTGAACACAGATCTGTTTTATTACACGGCCTGTGGTCTTCACCCTGCGCCATGCAGTCGCCTGGCTCTGAGAGGGCTGACAATTTCTCTATAACACTTCCATCCCCGGCTGGTGTGCCTCTTTTGTGATCTGTTCTCTTCCTTTGTCACTTCCTCTTCCTGCCTCTCTTGCCCTCTTCTCTTCTTGCTTTTTCTAAACATTCACTTCTTTCTTCCCCCTCTCTTCCCACCAGTGGTAGTATTTACCCTTGCAGTGAGGACTTAGCGGTAAGAAATACTTACATCAGACATTCTGAAAATGCTCCCCATCCTTCAGGATTATGAAGAGTGACCCAGGAAGCAAGCCCAGGACCTTTTTCTGCTATCCAGATGCAAAAAGGAAAAAAGCACAGGCAACAGAGGAAAGGGGACCGGACATTTATTGACCACCCACTATGTGCCAGGTGACATGCAGATGCTTTATGCACATTATCTCATTTAATCCTCACACCACGCAGGGGGTGCAGGGGATTATACCTGTTTTACAGCTGAGGACAAGGAGGCTGACAAAGGTTAAGTGATTTACAAAACATTAGAGCTGGTTGATGGCAAAGCCCAGGTCTCTCTGTCCCCAAAGAGCCTGTTCTTTCTTTGCAGTTCACTACACTGAGTGAAGGTCTGAACGTGCCACAGACAAGATAATCCAGACGTTGACTACATAATCAGCATCTGGAAACTTGGGTCTGCTCCCTGTCAGAGCCAGTTGACTTGTTCCATAGTGCTCAGGGTCTTCAGTTAATTACACATTTGTAAGAATTTTAAAGGGAACATTCCTTGCTTCATTAAAGATCTACAACCTTACAGAATATTACAGAGCTAAGAATTGAATTCTAGAATCATATTCTCTTCAAAGGGTAAACTGAAAGTGAATCTGAAATTTTAATGGTGCCCACCTGCAGTGTGAGCCTCTCTGGGAGAGGAATCATTAGCCGAGTCTGCATGAGTTTCAAAGTGTAACATTTCATGACCGGGGTGTCAAACCACTGCTGCTTAAAGCAATAAAGGGGCTAATATTAGAATCTTTGATATTCAACTGTCACGAAATCACTTCAAGTTCTAACCTCAGCATTATCTAACAGAAGACAGATAAAACTATTACAGGCAGGTGAGAAAAGGAAAATCAAAGGCTCCTATGTCAAATGATTACAAAACAAATGGGTACAAATGATTAAAAATACAAATACTGAGAAATGGAAGTCAGCTCTCCTGAGATGAAAGTACCTCCTAGTAGAAGGAAAGGTTGTCCAGTTAAAGAGGAGGGAGGCACCAACATAAAAAAATGAGGAGATCCTAATGTAAGCAGGAGATGGGCCTAAATGACCACAAGGGTTCTTTCAACTTGAAAATCCCAAGATTCCAGGATTCCATGAAACAATATGTGTGGTAAACAAGTTGGGCCAAGCCGTGTGTTGCTGCTGAGATTAGCATCCATATCTGAAGCCAAGGCAAGCGCGGGGGCATGGACGAGAACACCTGAATTGCAGTGGAAAGCAATCCTCCACAGTTTCGGCCAGCAGTGAAGAGAAGTATAACGATCTCCAAGAACAGTGAACATGGAGAATCTAACACAAAGTACATATGGAAAAAGCCTTCTTGAGAGGTTTCAGGTAGTGGACTAAATGAAACACGCAAGCATTTTTTGGCCCAAGTCATGCTCTAAAGCAGGACAAGAGAGATAAGTCATTCGCTGCCTTGGTTCCTTGATGTCAACGCTTTGGGGTGTGATACATTTATCTAAAATCTAGTTCCAAACAACTCAGTTCAAACAGATCTTACAATCACCTACTTGATTAAACAAGTTTTTAGTGGTGGGTTCTGCCTTCAGACGTTATCACCTACTATGCCCCCATGGCAAGCGCCATGCAGACTCCCCCATCCCTCCTCCTCTTTGATTGATGACGTTTAACACTTGGCTCGCTCTCTCTTTTCACCTATTCCTGTCACCTCTGTCACTATTCTCGATGGCCCATCATCCACACGGGTGTTCCTTCCCAACAGCTGGTACTGTCAGTCCCTCCACCTGCCCGCTTCTGATGATCTGTTTCTCTCAACTTATGCCTTTGCCTAACATGTCACTGAGCAGAAGGAAGTAATCAGGCAGGGATTCCCTCATCTTTCCACGTTGAAAACTTTCCAACTTCATCATCAATTCCCTAACACAGCACCCCACTGATTTTACTGTGGATGAAGCATCTCTAGTTCCATTCAACCCCTTAACCTGAGTTCTAGATCCCATCCTCCTGCTTTATCAAGGACCTCTCTCCCACTTTTCCTCTATCATTCATTTCTCCCTCCCTGCTGGGCCCTTGTCATCACCTTGTAAATACACTGATTATCTCTGATCCTAAAAACAAAAACAAACAGGCAAAGGATTTCTTAATACCATATCGTGCTCCAGCTAGCCCCCCATCTCTGCTCTTCTTCACAGAACTTCTTGAAGAGTTGTGAATTGTCACTGCCTTTATTCCCTTACCTCACATTCACTCTCAAACAACACCAATTGAGATTCTGTTCCCATCACTCTACTGACACTGCTCCTGGTTGGCAATGGTTTTGCCAAATCTAAGGGTTACTTCTCTGTTCCTATTTCATTGGACATAGCCGCAGCATTTGATGTAGCTGAATACTCCCTCCATCTTCTTTTTTTTTTAGCAACATAACCTCTTAACATCCAGATCACAAGTAAAGAGCTTGTTTCTTAATAGAAGCAGGGACGTTTCATCCACACTACAATCAATGGAGGCATTGTGTTACAGAGCTGATGGGAAGAAAGTAAGTTGCAAAAGATTACATGTAGTATACAATTTTGATTAAGTTCAAAAACAAGCAAAACTAATTATTGTTTAGAGATACATACATTTCTGAAAGCTATGAGAAAAGTATGAGGATGATAAACATACAATCCAGGATAGTGGTTACCTCTGGGGAGGCACGACAGGGCTAAGAATATATTGGTAATTTTATAGTATTTAAGTTGAATGGTGGGTTCGTTAAGTGTTCATTTTTTTGTTATTCTTTGTAATGAGAAAGTAGCTAAAACTAGGATGATCATAGCGGCAATGGAAGGAATGAACAGATTTTGAATATGTTTAGGAGAGTCAATTGCTGATATGGGGGAATGGAGGAAAAGGAGAATTTAAGGATACTTTCTCAATTTTTGTCTTGAGTAACTAGGAAGATGGAGGTGTCATTTACTGAGATAGAAAAGATTTAAACAGAAGTAGTTTGGAAACATTTTGCTTTGGAGAAAGAATAAAAGTTTTTGTTTAGGTTACGTGGGTATTGGGATGTCTGTTGACATCTAAAGGAAGATATGAAATAGGCAATTGGAACGTAAATCTGAAATTCTGAAGAGAGTCCAGGACTGAAACTATATACTCTATCTATATCTATCTATCTATCTATCTATCTATCTATCTATCTATCTATCTATCATCTATCTACCTATCTATCTATCATTTATCTATCTATCTGTCTACCTACCTACCTACCCATCATCTATCTATCTATCATCTATCTATCTAGTTTTAGAGCCATGGGACTGGACACGGTCACCTGGGTAAAGAAGGGAGCCCATCCAGTGTAAAGCCATAGCGACTGTGGTTGAGAAGGGAAAAATGGCCAGCAAAAGAGACCAAGAAGGATTGGCCAATAAGGTAGAATAAAAACCAGCACATGCGACTTCACAGAATTCAGGAGAATCAAGTACTTCAGGGAGGAAATAGCTCCCTTCTCCTACTGCAATGACCTGGGAGGCCATATGTTCTAGATAGAGGAAGGCCACAGGACTCCCTTTGGACTTTGCATTTCTTCTTGGTGTCATCTCCTCCAGGAATCTTTCCCTAATGTTCCAAGATAGACTACAAGCCTTTGAGCCTGAGGATCTGACTGGTTATCATTACGTCCCAGCACCGGGCATGGCTCCCGATACACACACACATCCCTCACAGACCATCCAGAGAAGCACATTTGTTTCTTTGGGTTCTGTTTGGAGGGCTTCATGGAAAGCATTTCTTCCTACTGGGGTGATCACCATCTTGTCAAATAATCGAGCCCAGGCATTTATTTCTTCCAGGGTAGGTGCTGGACTTAGAGGAGAATAAGAGGGTAGGGACTGTCACTGGATCTCAAACATAACAGTTTCCTTCTAATGAAAATATTTGCATGTGAGTCTCTTTAGAAAGGTAAGAACCATCCATTCTCAATTCCTCAAGCCTTAGGCAAAAAGACACAAGAGTGATACTTTCAAGTTTGGCTAGTTTAGGAGTCAGCAAACTATGGCCTGTGGGCTAAATCTGGCCTGCTCCCTGTTTTGTAGAGCCCGTGAACTAAGAAGAGTTTTTACGTTTTTAAAAGGTTGAAAATCTTTTAATCAAAAGAATTATTATTTTTAGTGACATATGAAAATTACATAAAATTCAAGTTTCAGTGTCCATAAATAGAGTTTTATTGGAGCACAGCTTTGTCTATGTATTTATATATCGTCAACGGCTGCTTGCACACTACAATAGCACATTTTAGTAGTCGTGACAGAGATCACATGGTCCGCAAAGCTGAAAATATTTACTATCTGGACCTTTACAGAAAATGTTTGCTGACCCCTAAGCTAGGCCATTACGAAATGCTTGCTAACCAGGATGGCAAAATAACCTCTAGAATGTAATTTTTCACACTGAACCTATGTTAGCAATATTTTAAAATTACAAATGAACGAATGAATTGCCTAGCTTCTCACTGGGAAAGGGTGGCTGCAGCTGGTAACCCTGCATTTTCTCCCTCATTGAGGGTTTCTCACCAATCACTCATGCCAGCACCTCAGTGGTGGAGGGGGCTCCTCCTTTACCACCCTGTCACAAGTGTGAGCACATAACACCTCCCTTATTAACTGTCCACAGTAGAGTTTAGCAAGACCAAACATGTAAATAAGGCTTCAAAAAACAGTGAATGACCTAATTGATAATACATCTTTAAGGAACGCCTCATGCATCTTTATTTTGGAGTCTCCTCCTGGGTGTCAGAAGTGGTGAGGGATCACCTTCCCCCAACATCTGGGCGTATTCTCAGGCATGTCTGGACACCATGCAGCCCAAACTCAAGACTATTTTCCCACTAGAAGCAAATATGGCTGCTGGCTTCTCGCTTCCCAGTATCTGGCCTGCCTTCAATGGATATGATTGCAGGACTGTCCACATAAACACGGGAAAGTGGTTTCTTTCCTCCCATCTCTTACTTAGCCGTCATTTAAAAAGTGTTCTTCATGGAGGACCATGACAAGAATTGGATTTAATGACACAAGAAAGGGCCATATGGAGTAAATAACACCCTCATTCTCTGCTGACATGATATAAATAGGCATGCCTAATCCTCCAGGAGACATTATGTTGCTCTTCGCCTTGAGTAGCAAAGGCTGCAGAGAAAGAGCTGTATCCTAAGATCATTCACAGTTTTAGAGAGTAACTAAAAAAAAAAAGCTTACTAGTAATTTTTTTAAATGCCAAGTTACATATGAGTACACATTTACAGGGTTAAAAGGAAGAAGTGTTAAAAAAAAATTCACACCTTTTAGGGTTACATCAGTTGGTGTCTCATAAAGAAACTGATGACAGAAACAGTGGTAAGAGGTGAAAACCAAGCAGCTTAAAGTAGGAGAAAAGAGACAGCCCACAAAAAGATCACACACAGAAAAGGGACAGTCAGACATCGAAAGGAAGCCCACGGAGCTTGGTAAACGTGGTATCTCAGAGCACGGTTTCTCTCTTCATGAACGCCTGCAGTTACTCTAAATAAGCCAGCTTTCTCGGGTCCATTCATAACCATCCACGAGTTTGTAACATAACAAGGTACGGCATTCACTGTTACGATGGTGGTTTATTTTATAGGATATGAGAAAGTTACCATCCTACCTTGAGGGGTTTTTAATTCAACAGATAAACACTTAGAGAAAAAAAAAAGAAAAATCTTTTCACACATCTCTAAACAGGTCATCCTCAAATGTGATTGAGAATAAGAATTCACAAGCCCAGAGTTTCCCTGGTTTATAGTTTAGTTTAACATGATATAACTTAAAAACATCTTAGCCTGTTTACTACCTTGTACTTGGACATAAAAATGGCCCATTTTCAAGAATTTTATCTGTACTATGTATAAACAAAATCTAATCCATGAGGTATTTTTTAAAAATATGTTCCTTTGACTATGTGCAGTAACACTATAACAGGAGTAAGTTCTGGATTATAAAAATGACAAGCATTTAAGCAGAGAGCAAGTGGCTCAACTTTAGAGATTTTTATCTTAAAATGAAAGGGAATAAATCACAATTTGTTGGATGAATTCATTTTTAAACATTATTTTTTAAAATAGAGAAATGCAATTAATATAAGAAGAAAGGAAGAATATACATTGATTCTACAATTTATATATTAGGTATTATATTTTATTAATAGGCTCTTTAGGTCCTCGAGCGTCATTGGGGTATCATTGATAAGTGTCATCAGTTACCAAACACCATTAGTAGCTCACAGAAAATGAATGTAACTTAATCATGAGGCCAGTTTACATGCACACGGATCCATAACTTTCACAAATAAGCACTTAGATTTTCTCACATGAATGCTTCAAAATCTCCAGATAATAAAGCAATGGATTATATGCCAACAATTTTTCATCTGAGCCAAATTTACACAAATTATGAAAAGTTCTATACCACATCACTAATTGAGTGGTTTTGAAAACTAATATTCAGATGGCTGTCTTGTGTCTCCAAGACACAAAACAGTATTTGTTAATATTGGCATAAAGTTCATATAAACATTTTTGCTTCAAGAAAATATTTGATTACACTTCAATAAAATTGTCTTCCCAATAATTACCAAAAAGAAAAGTCCATCAGACTGAAAAATATATTTGACATCTTTGTCATAGCTACGGGCAGTCTGGTGGCACACATCTGAGCGGTGAGGACCAAAGGCTTGAAGAAGCGCAGGGCTGCGATATTTGGAGGAGACAGGATTGCTGGATGTTAAATTTTATTTTAAAATGTTATGTATACAGAGTCTACCTTCTTTCAAGCTTTTAGTATGACTTATAGAGCCATATTAATTTTCATAGAATCCAAAAGGTAAAACATTTCAAGGTTTAACTATAAAGGAATGGAAATAATTACTGGTGTAGCTTTGTGGAATAAGATTACCGAGCTAGTACGTGAAACAGAAATAAGAGTTATAACCAAACATTACTGGTCACAGGCTTGTAATCAACATGACAACACGTGGCAAACATTATCTAATGTTAAAAATTTCCTAGCAATATAAACACATCTCCCTGGACAGTTCTAGCACTTAAGTTAATGTCAAAATGAACTTGTTAATTAATGCACGCAGTACCAGTACTTTAGAGATTCTATTCCAAGAGAATCACTGCATCTTCCTCTCCCCCCCCTTTCTTTCCTCCCCTTCCATCCACCTGTTTTTTTTTTCTTTTGACACATACCTTCCTCTGGTGTCTGTGTTCTCAATGGTTCACTCCAATCACTCCAGCTACCTTTATAAAGATGCAGCTTAGAGGAAATCTGAAATTCATATTCTGTAAAGGGTTTCAGATCCAGCAAATCATGTCTTCCTCTGGCATTTGTAGCATTAACCTTGAATCAGACAAGATTTTTAAAGGTGTCTATTAACACTAAACTAATTTACAGAATTTTAACATAAAGGTAAGAAACTAGGTCAGATAACCCTTTTTATTTTTTCAGATCTGTCATTTGATAAGAAGAAATATCGACGACTGGGTTGCTGAATACATATGACATTAATCTGAAATAATAGCTTCTCAAAAAAACAAAAACAAAATCTCCTAGGTCTAAGAACCCATCTATATGGGTTTCTAGGGGGATCCTGAAACCAGCTGAAAACGAGTAAAGGTTAAAAACTACTAATTTTCAAAAAGGTTTTGGAGAAGTTTCTACACTAGAGATTATTTTTTATTTGGTTACAATTAGAATGTGATGACTGTTTTAACACAGACATAGAACGGGGTTCAAATAGAAAACTTTAATTATATAAGAAAAATTTGATTATTATACCTCTCGAGTACTAGCTATATGTGGAACTGATCCTTTGTTATTGTAAACCATTATATTTTATAAAAATACTGGAAGGAATTATAATCCCATACTTTTTATTGTAAAAAATGTAATGCCTAATATTATATCAAAGTGTGGAGCTTTATCTTTGGAAAATTCAATTCCATATAAGCCTTTATGGGCATTCCCTAATATTTCTCTTTCCAATATGTTAAAAAATTACTAAAAAGTAATAATGGGTCAAGGAGTAGAATAACAAGGAGAAATGAGTCCTTTAAATAAATTGTAGAAAATTAATATGGGTTTACAGAAGGCCGTGGCTTACAAAATTTCAGAATGAGTGGTCAAATTTAAGATATTTTTTAATAGAGGTGTATATGACTTTCTGGTATATCTGAAGTGTTTACTTTTGGGCTAAATATTCTCCAACTCCCTATTTTGCTGGTATGAAAAGAGAGATCTGAGCAGTGACACTAAGAACGCCCCCTGTTTGCTCCTCTCTCAAAAGCCCATTACCGTATTCCAGGACTTGCTGTTGCTGGGCCGATATCTGAGTCGATTGAGTAGCACCAGCCCCTCGTCTCTCCACTGAAGGGTACATCTGCTCACAGAAGCATTTACGAATTTGATTCTGATGTCCCATGGAGGAAGAGGCCTCACTAGAAACCAGGACAAACAAAAAGGTGTTATTCAGGCTCCAAGATCCAAAATTGCCATATGCATTGATGTGAGATATAAAGAATTGAACGAAACTCATTTCTAAGATGCACAACTACCAAATATGGTGAAATACACAAGAGAGAAGTCCCTGGCTTTTAGAAAGAAGAAAAAGTTTGATTCACTTGTAATCATTAAAATAATTCCCCTTAATCTACCCTCATTTTACTAAATAAACTACCACCACCATTGTGATAGTGTCAATTCCATTTAATCCAATGATTTAAAGAAAACCAGCGTGCCAGCCTTGGTGGTCTAGTGGTTAAGATTCAGTGCTCTCTCGGGGTTCGATTCCTGGTCAGGGAACCAAACCACCTGTTTGTGGTTGTCATACTGTGGCAGCTGTGTGTTGCTCTGATGCTGAAAGCTATGCCACCAGTATTTCAAATACTAGCAGGGTCACCCATGCGGACAGGTTTCAGGGGAGCTTCTAGACTAAGACAGACTAAGAAGAAGGACCTGGCTACCCGCTTCTGAAAAACCCTATGGATAGCAGCAAAGCACTATCTGATACAGTGCCAGAAGCTGAGAAGGTGAGACGACAGCACACAAAGACCGGGCAGGGTTCCTCTCTGCTGTGCACAGACGGGGGCGTTAGGAGTCCGAATCCACTCGACGCCACTAACCACAACAAAATGTGCCAAACCCAAGAATTCAATTCCAGTGCCTGAGAAGGCAGAGGTGGCTTGTGGTGATCTCCTCAGAAGGAGAAGAAATGTTGGTAGGAAAAGTCCTAGGAAAGGGACACTGGAACAGAAGGTAACAGAAGAAAAGAATGAGAGAGAAAGAAGGTGGCTTAGAGATGAACAGTCAACATAGAGAGATGGAAGGTAGGATGGGGAGAAGTGTGATGGGAAAATGTACAGGAAATGCCTAGGTGCAGACTCACAGTTAGCAGTATGTGTGCAAAGACGTGCTGTGGGAAGAGAGATGAGAGACATAGCATGTGAGGCCGGAATTTCAGGCAGGCCAGAAGCCCAGGCTCTGCCTGGGACGTCAGAATTCGGGAATGCCTGAGACTAGCCTCTGATACAACTGTCAGAAATGTGCGGGGACTGGCTCACTGCAGCTCCCAAGCTGACTGGAGATAGGTATTCTTGGAGCAAGATGCATCCGAACCTTGATACTCTTTTATTTATAGTTTGCACCTGGTTGCCCTCGCCCGGCAGGCCTACAGGTAGTCTATCTTAGAACAGTGGGGCACTCACGGGGGTAGAAAGACACCTCCACCAAGGGGGGCCTGCACTGAGCTTCTCAAATAACCTCACAGGACCCCCTCCTCAGGTGGATGGTATGACTGACGGTGGGTGCTTTCCTGGGATTTGAAGCCGGGGCTCTTATTTCTCCGAGAGAGAATAATGTTGACTATCCCATTTTGTACAGCCAGCTCTACGTAGCTCTAGGCTCACAGACCCTTTTACTTGGATCAAGGTAACGTCTATCCTTTGCCTATGCCTATTGGCCACTTTCCATCAACCACTGTCTCTTTTGAAACAATCATATAGAATATTCGAGTGATTTCTAAAATAACGTCCATGCGCCAATGAATGACACTTACAAAGAGTGAAATCATACGTACCTATGTCCAGCCACGTGAATGTAGATGGAAGTGAAGAAGCGCTCCCAAGACTGTTGACAGCAGTAACCTCGGCTGTGTAACTGGATTCAGGCGACTCAGGGGTTAGGTTGATTCCAAGGTCCAAATGGTCACAATAATGATCATTACATTGCTTCTGCCAAGCTAAGTTTTTTGGTCCATTTAACCTGTAAATAAAAGACAACTGTGTTTAGCAAGATACTTTATGTGCTACTGCGTCCTTTGATCACAAAAGAACAAAGTGTTCAAGTATTTAAATTCTACACTTTTTTTAAAAGTCAGTTTTATTACTAGGGGATGCACTATGGGAATATTTGTATTTTATGATCATAAATAGAACCATACCTCCCCCCCTCCCTTTTTTTGGTAGGACTGAGAATTTTTTGACGTTCGTATAGACGAGTACCATCCCTTCATTGCCTGAATTCCCAAAACCCTGGCTGACATCTTAAATCCTCAGGGCAGATCCAGTCAGTATCCAAAGGATCCATGGCCACCTTGGCATTTACAGCACAGAAGCGCCAGCTCCCAGTACAGATCGGAACCCTGGGCCCCACTTCCTATCCCCCTTCTCCTGCTCACTTAGGCATGGTGCAAACCAGCTGGATCTTTGGATGGGATTATGGATCAACTCCAAGAAAAAGAATCTCCCAGATTCTCTCTTTGTACGGACTCTTCAGGTCACGCAAAGGTACTTTAAAAAGAAACTCCTCCAAGGCTAATGGAAAGCTACCACATGAAGAGTCTATTTACATATCATGACCCCAAGAGTCTGCAAGTGCAAAAGGGGGAAGGGATATAATTCAGCCAGTTCAACGCTAGTAGAGCAGGGAAGAATGTCCACAGCTTAGGCCTCAGATGCCCTGAAGAGAACTCTGAATTAGATCTAAGACCCAAGACACACGTTCTCACCCTTCAGATGGATGAACAAGTTTTCATAGATGAACACTAGAATTTTTTTAAGTGTCTAACTATCTTGAGGTGTCTATTGCTTCTTCTCTCTGGTAAAACCAGAACTGTTAGATATTTGTCAAAATCATCTAAGAGAAGACCTACAAAAAAGCTGCAAAAATGCAGTATCTCACTCACTGTAAAGTATATGCCGTGTACAGGTGCGTGTCCCGACCTCTGTCCCAGGTGCAGGCCACTGTCCCACGTTCTCCCTTCTGTATGCAAGATAAGTTTTGAGGCTGTTCTGGAACAACTTTAAAAAGAATAAGCACACAGGTGATATTTCAATTACATGGTTATTATTTGCCAACAGGATAACAATACTTCCTCTACATCTCCCATACCCAAAAGAGCTGGGAACTATTTTAGATTCTATCAAGTTCAAATTTGCCTCTGAAGATGAATTTCTTCTAATGACAATAGTAACAACAGTGAATATGGATCAAACACTTGCTATAAGCCAAGTCCTGTCCTAAGTGTTCTGTGCGTGGTTTTTCTCAATTAGACATCAGAGCAGCCACATCAAGTACATACTATTACTATCTACATTCTACCAAAGAAGAGACTAAGACTTAGAGGTTAAGTATCTTGCCCAAAACCATTACAAAACTATGAAGTGGCAGAATGAGGGCTCCAGCTCAGGTGTGGCCGACTTGAGTCCAAGCCTTTCATCACCATACGCTCCTGTTCCCCTTGACAGGTGAACACCCAGCACAGCTCCATGACCCCTGGTGATGATGAGTTCACTTTTTTAGAATGAAGCCCATTCAAATATTAGAAGCCTTTAAAAATTAGGAGCTCTTTTTCTCCATTGACCTGAAATTTGCTGCCAAGGCACTTCTACCCACTGGCCCTAGTCATGTCCTTCTGGGCTGTACCACCTAAATCTGATCTCTGCAGCATCACTTGGAGCACCTTATGAACATCTATAAATGAATTCTCTATATACATAGACAGTGAGTACCTTCCCTGGCTAGGCACAGGGCTTGCTGTGGAGATACAAACGAGTACAAGGCAGGCGTGGTCCCATCTATCGCAAGATGTGTTTTTTTTAAATGAAGCCATTTTATAGTCAAAGACAGAACCTAAAGCCAGGAGTTTCTCAGATTTCATGGAGGTGAGAGAAAATACTCTGTTGCTCGGTCATCTCATTCTACCCTAATACTGAGCCCCACATGTCGAAAGATATTTCCTTTGGGTGAGATAAAACAAGTTTACCATTGAAGCCCTAGACATTGTCTGCACCAAAAAAAGCTGTAATTGATGGAATAAATTTTTTTTGTCCTCAGCACACACCATGGACCTGGGCACAGTAACTACCCACTGTGTGACCTTGGCCAAATGAACTTCTCGGGACTTCAGTTTCTTCATCTATAAAATGGGTGTAACAATATGTAGCTCATATAGTTTTGTTTAATGGAATAATAAACTCTTTCTTTTCCTAGAATAATAGACACTTCCTTGTATGTGTATGTATATATATATATATTTTATACATCTATATACACAACTACTTGTAAGTGAGCCACGTAAAATACATTAACTTTTCATTTTTTGTACAACTTTTTGTTTATCTTGGAGTTAGTAATTAATTGCCTTGTTTTCCTTTTTTTTAGTTTTCTTATTAATAACATAATTCTAAGTTCTCAAGCCAATTATCTGAGTCACTGTTCAACATATTCAGACACATTGAGAATTCTATTAGTTTCATCTGCTTGAAATCCTCTTTCTTGGAGCCTTGTGAACTTTCCAATAAGATGAGTCTGCCTCTATGCCTGGTATGCAGCTGCCATTCTGGAATTGCCAGTCCTCAGTATCCCGGAAATTCCTTCTTCTCCTTTTTATTGTGCTGGATTTCCTGTTTCTTAGATGCAATGCTTTCTTCTTCCTTGATTTAATTACTTGTATTGATGAAGCATATCCTCCAGTAGTTTCCTGGGAAAGGGTGCAGGGGAGGTAATATTTTGAGCATGGTTAAAAATGTCTTTTTTCTACTTTCACACTTGACTGACAGTTTGGTTGAGTATAGAATTCTAGGTTGAAAAGAACTTTCATTCAAGATTCTGAAGGCAATGCTCTGTTGTCATCTACATTCTAGGTTGCTGTTGAGAAGCCTGAAGACATTCTGATTCTTGAACCATTGTAATAGATTATTTTTCCTCTTCAGAAAATTCTAGAATCTTCTCTTTGTCCCCACTATTCTGAATTTTCACAAAGATGTGCTTAATGAGGGTCTATTTTCCTTCATTCTTATTGATTCTCAATGAGTTCATGCATTCTGGGAACTTTTGTCCTTTAGTTTGGGAAATGTTCTTGAATTATTTCTCTGATGATTCTCTCCTCTCTGTTTTTTTCTTTCTAAAAACTCATAGTTTTCATAGGTTGGACTTTCCTCTAATTTTACATTCTATCCCCTATATTTTAAACCTCTTGGTCTCTACTATGAAGGAAAAACCTCCTCAGTTTATATTTCTACACTCCCATTGGTTTTTCACTTCTGCTTTTCATTTTTGGGGGAAGGGGGCATTTTTTCTATTCTCTGAATATTTCCTTTTTATAGCATCCTATTTTTGTTCTGTATGCAATATTTTCTCAATTCTCTAAGGATATCAAGGATAGTTTTTGTTTTTTAACATTTCTTCTCCCTGAATACACTCTATCTCTTCCACTTTCCTTATACACTTTGTTCCACGTTTGTTTTGGTTTCTGCCCTTCGTTTTAGACATTGTCCTCAGATCCCCATATTTTCACCAGACAGGAGTGTCACCAACTTACAGGCTGGAGCTCTGCACGTGAGTCCCTTGAGGGAACTTGCTGACTCTGGGTTTCACTCCAGGATGATCTGCTAGGTTCTCTTGGGAACCTCTGTTGTCAATAATTTTAGATATTTCCTCTTGGCCAGGTCACATTTCCCGGAAAAGGATTTTCTAATCTGCCTGGAGGAGGGTACAGGCCTGAAGGGAGCTGTATGTAAGTGTTCCTTTAATCCCTCTGTTTTTCAGTATGGTCCCACCAATCTCAGCTGCACTGGCTGAAACTAGGCCAGAGACCCTCAGATAAGAAGCCTCCAGTCTTAAGCCAGTGAACTGGAGTGTGACTGGCTGCACGGCAGTAGAAAGGGGATCTAAGAATCTGTTCTTGAAATAGATTCTCAATCAAATCTCTCATTTTTAGCCCCACTTTTACCCTCACTCTCAGAAGGACATGGTACTACCAATTTCTGAGTCCTTCTAGGGTGGGAACTTCTGCATTAAATCAGGTTGCACCTCGACTTTTGTCACTCTCAGCTGTTGGTTAAGCCAGATATCACTCATCCACCTGCTTTCCAGCACCCAAAATTTTGCTGATGCATCTACCCTCCCACTTTGTTGTCCTTTAGTGTTTGTGCCTCTAGAAAACTTTCTTTATTGCATCTTGGCTTTATTTCAGGGGGAATGAAAGTAAATACATATGTTCAAACCACCATCTTTACCCTAACCCTTCACAAGGTCTTCTGGTGACCAAAGGAGATATAAAGTTCCTGGCACTTTTACATAATGAAAAAATTAGTTCTCATTCTCACCTTTACTCCTCAGAGTTTGCAGAGACTCTTGTTTTAAAGATCATAGCTTTTACGCACATATCAAGTCATCTTTCTCAGTGTGAGGTCCTTGGACCATGAAATCAGGTGTCTACTTCAGCGTAGGACTTAGTTTTGACAGAGACTGTTGGTCCCAGGGGAAACCAGACCTAATTCTCCTCAACACAAATGCATAATAGAGATGCCAAGTAAGGGCCAGAAATCAAAGCCTCTGAAGATTAAAAGAGCTTACAATATAAACAATCATTATAAGTATTATGGTTGTTACTGTTTTTAAGACCCCCACTTATTATGGGAAATAAAAAGTTTTAGAAACATAGCTTTCGGAAATAATCAACAGCCAAGCATATGTTGAAAACAATCCAGCCAAAATCCGTCATCTTTCACTTGTTGCCTTGATTGTCTAAGCAGATTGTAGATCAATCCTATGAGGTCACGCTGGAGCACTGACTGCCGGGTTACTACACAGTTACATGAACTCTGGGCAGCAGAGCAGCACAGGCCCAGGAAGGGGCTGGGAAGAAAAGGCTTAGAGGCTGTTTACCCATCCCCAGTTCTGAAGAACCTGCCAGCTATGACCGGCCCTCCCAGGATATGCAAAGGAACTATGGACCTCCACTTATCACAAAGAAGAAAAGGGGCTGCTTCCTCCCTCATTAGACAGAATTAAGCTCACTACCCTGGGTGAAACCAACATTCATGGTGTCTCTTCTTGGAATGACTAGCCATACTCAGAAAAACGTGCTGCTTCCAGTCACCCCTTCACCTCAAAGGTGCTAAACTTGCTCATAGAGCAGCCATTTGATGGTGTGGTTACCACTCAAGCACGTTGCACAAGCAACACTCTGCAGCACCACCCAACTGAGCTGCACCGTGACAGACACTCTGCACCATCCCCCAGATCTTTCGATGCTCACGCCGTCACGAGTGCACCCCCACACTCTGGATAGAAGAGTGCAACAAGGGAGAGGGTCGCAGCACTCTCGTGTATCTGAGCAAAGACAGCAAATGGACTGGAATGGCCAAGGACACATGCAAGGATGCCGACTCCCAGGCTGTGGTTAGCCTCCTAAAGAAGAAGAAAGCCCCAGCGGCGTGGTGGACACCTGGAGCTGACGTCGCAGGGCTGGGAATGTCTAATACAAAGGGGCAAGGCTGGTCTAGTAAGATGACGAATTACCTGGGTGAAATATTCAGGTGTTCTGAGGACAAGGGAGGTGAGCACCAGCATGCTGTACACACAAAGAAAAGAGTAGAACCAGATGGAACAGCAACCCTAGCGCCCATCACCTCAGCGCCCTGTGTGCCTGGTCCTAGACCAAGCCCTCTGTGTACAAGGTGTCATCCAATCACCACACCATCGTATGAGGAAGGTGTTAGCATCTCCACAACACAGATGGAGAAACTGAGGCTCAGAGAATTGAAATTGTCTAATGGTACACTGCTAGTGGCAGGCTTGGGACTCAGAGCCCGTGGTCCTTTCACTACCCCACAGGCTGTCAGAGCTGAACGGGCCTGACCCGTAAGTGGTGTGCACAGGAGGCCCTGTGCTGGAAGAGGAGTACTGGACCAAGTCTATGCCTCCTTACCCCCCAGGGATTCGTTTGGTCATTTGCTAGGTGTTCTGCTCAATGCTTCTGGTGGCCCTCAGTTGCCTGGTATTAACCATATCCTTATAGGTCACAGAGAAGAGGTTTCCATCTTTCCTGAGTGTCTCATTGAGCTCTACATCACTGTCTTTCCGACAGGGACCCTGTCCTTGCATCTTGGTCAGCCAGCCTGCAGTAGCAAGTCCTCCTACCCTCCTCATGCCTCTTGCCTGCCGCTCTGAGCTTCCCTGGAACCACAGAGGCACGGAGCGCCATGGGACCACTCAGGGCCCATGCATGCTCGTCAGCTTGCCAGGTTGGGCCTTCAAGGCTGCAGGCTGCAGGCTGCAAGCTGCAGGAGGGTGTGCTGCTGGCCTATCCTGTGCATTGTGGCTCATGCTGCAGACGCCAACTTTGATGTCTTAGTTCTTACTCCCAGCAGCTGCCTGGAGGGACCAGCAGTGCAAGCCAGCAGTGGGGGGAGTTGATGCCCTGTGGATGAACTTTGACCAATGACAGACAGCTTAATTCTTTTCTCCTTCTCCTGTCATTGTATTTCCATACGTTCTTTCTGGGGATGTCCCTAGTGACCAAGCAACCAGCTGTCTTTTCTGTAGACGCTGTGGCCAGCTCAGTAACAAAACCACCTCATGTTTGCTTTGTTCCTTTCCTGGCTCACTCCCTCACTCTCTAGAACTGTACCACACCTCCCCCAGCCCCGCCACCCACATGAAGTGTTAGCACATCAGTTTTGCCTCAGGCAGTTTTCTAGAAAACCCAAGAAAACATAGCAAGTACAATGATAGTTCTCTTTTAACCTCTGTTAAGTATGATAGCCAGTAGTCAGGCGTGGGTGTGGATGGAAGAACGATTTTCTACGCAATGCATTGCGTTAGAGAGGGGAGAAGCTCTCAGCCTTGGGCAATCAGCCGGGGCTGCAAAAGTCGAAAGAGACATCTTTTTCCTCTTTTTAGGAGGTTGTGGCTTTGAACAAATTCTCCTAAGTCAAGAAGGCATGAAGACTCAGCTGCAGAGATCCATTTTCCTGCCATTGCAGTCCAAGGACAATAGGTAAATGGGCTTAATAGCCAAAAAGAGGAGAGAAAGAGAGAAGAAGAGGAAGAGGAAGAAGAAGAAGAAGAAGGAGGAGGAGGAGGAGGAAGAGGACGAGGAGGAGAAGAGAAACTTACCAAATGAGACCCCAATGCTATTGGTTTCTGGACTTCTCACATTGAGGTGCTTATGTTGCTATCAAGATAAAATATATCCATGTGGTCGGAGAAGAAGGAACACTGCCCTATATTTGGATTTCTGTTTAATACATAACAAATACCCAAAGATCATCAATTTTTAGGAATTCAGAATGGAACGCTCACCACCAACTGAGATTTCTGCCCCACATATTTGAATCTCGTCACTACTGCCACAGGCCAGTTTGCAGACAAACAGAGTTGTACCCAGGGGAAGATCTGTGACTTGAGAACTGAGAGAGTCACCACGCTGAAAACGGATTCTTCTGTGGAACTGGTAGAGGATTAACGTGTTAAAACGGGAATATGGCGAGCAGACTTGTTTGGGCTTCAAAGAGCACGAGATATTGACAGCTGATCCAAGGGAAATGACATGGGAAGGCTTCACAGTCACATCTCCTCTCTTACACACATCTGCAAGAAGACACAAATGCAATACTCAGTTGGCACATGGGAAACCCATTTTAAAATGGAGAGTTGTATAATTCCCAAAAGCAGGGTAAAATTAACCCCATTGAATCATGGAAATATAAATAACCTACATTGCTCTGGCTGCACTGGCGATGCACAATGAGAGCAGGAGGCAACCATATTAAAGTCTAACTGTATTTGCATTAAAATATGCATCCTTTTCAACCTAGTAATACTATAACCAGAACTACAAATAGGAAAGTGGGGAGAAAATAGGGTTGGAAGAACATTCAGGAACACAGTTCCAGGAAAAACTCTCTCTCTCATACGCAAATTATTCATCAGACTACTAACAAGTACTTTCCAGAATAAATCACATTTGTTTCCATCCCCATTTATGATTTATAAACCTTACTTCAATACTCATGCCAAAAAAGAAAAAAAAGACAGTTTTAAAAGGCTATTACAAATATTAAGGGGCAGACGGGAATACTTTCCCCTCTTGCTGTATTAGTGGTGTAAAGTATGTGTGATCTATAACATTATTTTATAACAAAGAGAAAATATTCAGGGGCTCTGGCGTGTCCGCAGCTGGCACCAAGGATGGAAATTAGGTCTTCCCATGCCATATTTTGGTATTCCTTCAAGATGTAAGACCCTGGGCTGGATGAACCACTGCCCAATACAGCTAACATGAAATTACATGAATGTATTCTTCTTTTTGAAGGAGTTCTCCATGCTATTTATGATATGCCGGGTACTACTTTAAACTCTGATTTAAAAGAGAGGTCACTGTCACTCTCCAGAAGTTTTTGTGTCAATAAATACAACAACTATTCAGAAATTAACAGGTTTTGGTGGTACTCAGTAACTGCCAAGGAAAGAATGTCAGAATTATAGATTCCCCCTGAATTTTTAGATGTGATGTAAAGCCTCCACTGAAAATCTTCCTTGGGTAACTGTAAGACTGCTTGGATCAACACCCACGAACGGGAACAGGTAAAGAAGTTATTTAAACCAAATACAGGAAATACTGAAAATTCATTTAAGATAAAAAGTTCTCATTTTTATTTTCATGACTAAAATTAAGTCTCTTTCCCTCTCTTATCTTATTTATATGTTTGTTTTCTGTGTTTTTAATCTTCTTTGATCCTAATGGGCCAGAAAGTCAAAAGTAAGCTCCCAATAAAAAAACCAAAGAAAATGCCAGCCATTATTTTTTTAGCATAGCTGAATTCACCCATGAATACCCTCTGTTAAAAAGCACTGCAATATGAAACATTCTAGCTTTATTACCCAGACACATTTTTAAGAGGAAACGATATGATTAGACTCTTACATTAATCATGAGTGTAGATTAAATAAAATACATATTAGTTACAGACATAGAACCAGACTTACCTACTTAAACATGACAGAAGATTGATTATAAAAGATCAACTACCAGAACATTTACCACAAATGCATATTTTATCTGTAACTGAGAATTTAAACCACAAATAATTTCACAGACTAGATAACAAACAGAAATACCTTACCTATTTTTGCCTTAACCAACAGCAACATGATGATAAAAATAAGTGCCAATAAGCACCCTCTAACTGTATATGCCATCAACAGTCAACTCTGGAATACGCCTCTGTATTTTTTCTTGTAAAAGAAGACAAATTCATTCATGTTAAATACATTCAGAAAATGCCAGAACCAACATCATTGAGAAGGGCTAAAAATGCCCCTTTACCTTTCTCCATATTACCAAGATTTTGTTTGTTATTTTTAAAAAATGAAGTACACCTTTACAACTAGTAAACTGAAAATCTTACCCACTTCTAACCCCTATGTCACTTAAGCTTCTTGGGGTCAGCAAAGGGTGGAAAAAGAGATACGGCCTTTGGAGTCCTTTGGAACTAGGTTTAAATACTTTGAGACCAGGGGAAAGGTACTGAACCTTCTGAGCCTCAGGCCCACACAAAATTTTTTTTCTTCCAAACAGGGCTGCATCTTCATAGTCAAACACAGTCATGTTAAATCCCCAGACTAATGAGAATTTCTGATTTGGTCAAGTGCTTCTGGAAGTAATAGGAGATTAAAAAATGGCTCAAAACCCCCCTGGAACTTAGTAAAAGATTGATCTCTTTGGCAGTAAGAAATAAATCCCAAGGGTTTGAGGGGGTTGTTTGGGTTTTCGATAGAAGTTCAATTTTCCTTGTTTGTTTGCTTGTTTATTACTTAAGTATCTTTTTCTTGAATGGTGTGGAATATGCACGCTGGTGATCTCCAATTGTTTCCAGATTTAAACCTAAGGAATGGCTCTACCAGTCATTAGCAAATTCTCTAAATTCTATTAGAGGTGGGCTAAAAATTCAGAAAGTAGGCTGGAAAGTTCTGTGATGTCAGGCCACTGGGAACCAGCCAATGCAAATGTTCACCTCTTATTCCCATACCTAGAAACGTGCCAGATGTATTGGAGAGCCCCAGAAACATTCACTTGTTCATTCAACAGTGATGGCTACCTTTCACGTGCCAGGCACGAGGTTAAGTGCTACAGATACGATGGTCGTGCCCCGGTGGGCTTCTAGGAAAGTGCCCACTTGCTCCTTTGACGCCTCTTCCTCCAGGCTGGTCATCACCCAGGGAAGCCCCGAATAATACTGGCATCTCTTCAACAGCCTTTACCGGTTGCTCTTCCTCCTCCTCCCGGCTTTCAGCTCTTGGAGGACCTCAGCACACTCCAAACATTATTTCTCCATTTCCACTGTCTCCTGGGGCATCTCATCTGGTCACCTGGCTCCAGACGTCGTCTATGCTAAAGACTCTCAGATGCACATCTTCAACTCAGACATCTCTCTGAGCTCCAGTGTCCTATGTCTGTCTCCTTGGCATCACTTCTCGGACGTCTAACAGACTGCTCAGTATCAACATATTCATTCGAATTTTTGTCTCTCTTCTCCAATCTGGTTCTTCCTCCAGCCTTTTCTATCTCAGTGAATACCATTGTTATCCCTTAACTTGCTCAAAAACCTGGAAGTCATCCTTGATTCCACTGTCTTCTTCACGCCCCACAACCAAACCATCACTAAGTCCTGTCAATTTTATCTCCAAAATGTATCACAGATGAATCCCCTTCTCTCCATTTGTACCGTCCTCACCCTAGTCCAAACGACGGTCATCTCTCCCCTAGACGACTACAGTAGACCCTTAATGTGTCTCTCAATCCATCCTTGCCCCTTTCTAAGTCACTTTCACATAGCTGACCACCTTTTAAAAAACATAAATCAGATTATATTATCTGCTTAATACCGCCATTATTTAAAACGCTTCGACAGGTCCCCACTGCTGTCAGAATAAAATCCAAAGTCCTTACCACACACAGTCTCTCAGCCACTGCATGGCCTCACTCGTCCCATCTTGCCACCATCATTCGCTCTACTTTTTTGCTGTGCTCGCTGTGCTCCATTCACACTGGCCTTCAGGCTGCTCCTTGAACAAGACACGCACTTTGTTGCCTGGAGGACTCTGTACTTGCCATTTCCTCTGCTAGAATCCTCTTCCCCTGATTCTTAGCAGCTGACTTATATCCTTCAGATCTCAGATCATGTGTCACTTCCTCAGAGAGCCCCTCCCTGACCACCTAGTCAAAGTGGCCCTGCCCAGCTCCTTTCTGCTCATCGCCTTATTGCCTTCATGGTACAGTCTGTAACTCTCTTGTTTACTTACTTGATTACTTGCTTGTCATCTATCTTTGTGCTAGAATTTAAGCCACCATGAAAGCAAGAACATTGACTGTCTTACTCACTGCTGTACGCCAGCACTTAGCACTGGGAAAGAGTACTCAACAAATGTTTATTGAAAGAAAGACGGGATGTGGGGGGAGGATTATGAGCTATAGAAAACTCCCTATAAACATCCCCATGGTAGGCAGAATAATGGCCCAAAAAAGATGTCCATGCCTTAATCCCTAGAACCTGTGAATATATTATGTTGCATGACAAAGGGACTTTGGAGATGTGATTAAAATTAAGGACCTTGAGATGGGGAGATTATCCCGGATTATTCAAATGGGCCCAATCTAATTACGTGTGTCCTTAAAAGTGCATGAGGGAGGCAGAAGAGTCAGTCAACGAGCTCTGATGTGAGAAGGACTGGACCTGCTGTTCCTGGCTTTGAAGATGGAGGAAGGGGGCCATGAGCCAAGGAATGTGGTTGCTTCCAAAATCTGGAAATGGATCTCAGTTTACAGATAATATAAAATGGATTTCTTGTGAGTCTTGGTTAAAAAATTTGAGAAATGCTGATCTAAATAGAATCTGACAGTTACCATCTTTCTAAACCATAAAGTCCAAGGCCATGGCATACAGTGGCCTCTGTGAGCTAATTCCTGTCTTCATCATCAGCCAATCTACCACCACTCTCTGCTGACACTCTACTGTCTAGTAACACTGAGCTGTTTATAGTTCCCTTGCACATCTCATGTCAGTTCACGCTTCTATGTCTTTGTTCAGGCTATTCTCTTACCTTTCCACTGTTCTTAGACCAGCCAAGTCTTACTCATCCACCCCAACTCAGCTCAGACACCTTTGATTCAGTCATTCATTCAACAAATATGTATTAAGCAGTTGCTATGTGCCAGGGGCTTGGAACAAAAAAGAGAACAAGGCAGACTGGGTTTCAGCTCTCAGGGAACCAATATTCTGGAGTAGGGAGACAGAAAACAAAGAAATAACAAACAAATTCAGATAATGATAAAAGAAGAAATTAACAGAGGCTAAGGGAAGACAGAGCCTGGGGAAGAGAGAAGCCGGTCAATGAAGGTGTTTCTAGAAGGGGAAGCTTGAGCTGAGATGGGTGCAGGCCAAGCGAAGCCTCAGGAAGAACTCTCCTGACAGAGAGAATGGTTAGTGCAAAGCCTGGAGGCAGAGGAACCAGCTTGCTGCTGGTGAGGCACAGAAATAAGGCCAGGGAGGCGGGGGAAGGTGACTGTGGGGAGAACGGTATAGGATGAAATTGGAGAAGAGGGCAGGCGCCAGACCTGCCACAGGCTTGTTTGCCATGGAAGGGAGCCTGGATTTTATTTCCAAAGCTATGGGAAACAAGTGGTGTTTAATTAGAGATTTTATTTATTTAACTGGGTTTTAATTGGAGTGTTACAAGATATGAATTACATTAAACACACACACGCAAAAAAAAAAAAAATAAACAAAAAACTAGTCTTGGCCCCATGTATTGAGCGAGAGTAGAAGCAAGCAGACCAGTTAGGAAGCAATTACAGAGACCCAGGTAAGAAATGATGGTGATGTGGACCACAGCTAGAGTAGTAGAGGCAGAGAGAAGTAGTCAGATCTTAGGAAGCTTTACCTATGTCTCAGGTCAGATTGAAGCCTCCTACTACAGTCATGCACCACATAACGACATTTCAGTCAACAGTGGACGGTCAACAATATGACGGTGGTCGCATAAGATTAGTACCAGATAGCCTAAGTGTGTAGTAGGCTGTACCACCCAGCGTTGTGTAAGCACATTCTATGATGTCCACAAACGACAAAACTGCCTAACGATGCATTTCTCAAAACATATCCTCATCGTTAAGCAACGTGTGACTGTAGTATCTTCATGCCATCCTGGCGTCCTCCTTTCTAAGCACCTGCCATATTAAACAGAACCATTTTATTTAGGTATCTGCCTGTCTCTTCCATTAGCTTGCAAGCTCCTCATGGGCAGAGGCCACAATCTGTGGCATACAGTAGGCATGTGCCGAACTGAGTGAAACTTAAATTGTTTTTCTGTGTTTACTTCACTTCTGGTTTAATGTCATTACATTAAAACTACATTAAATCTTATTTTGCTACATTGTGGTCAACATTATTAATAAGTTTTTTTTATTGTAGCTACTTTAGTTGCTTCACTAAAATTTGGAAGATTCTGGCATAAAGGAAATTATGGATTGAACTAGAAGATAACTAAATGAACAGATATATACGGATTAAATAGGTTTTTGCTTCCTGACTGCAAAGGATATCTACAGGGTATCTTTCAATTGCAATTTATGCATTGTAATTTATGCAGCTATAACATTCTCCAAATAGTCAAATATTCAATAGTTAAATATTAAATTGGTTATTATAAGAATTTTTAAAATGTATATATATGAAAAGTATATGAAATATGCATATATATGATATATACACACACCTATATATAAAATAGGCAAAACAGAGGATAAATTCAAGTTTATATAGTACATCGAACTAAACACAGACTTGATCATTTACTCTGAATACCAAGTAAAACAGCCTCTCCGTTTATAAGAAACTCAAAACCCCAAAGACCTTCAAGTAAATGAGGTATTTTCCAATAAAATGAAACCTCCTGTCAACTGTAAACATCCTTCATACAGCCTGCCTGGGGGGTCAACATTAAAACTACAACTCTCTCTTGAATCAGAAAAAGAAAGTGTGCTGTGTCATTGACTCATCACTCAAGTTGTGACAGTTTCCAGACAGTGAAAACAATGTCTCAATGAAGGGGGCGGGGACCAGCCAGAAATACAGCAACTGGCAGGAGGGCAGAGGTAACGATCACCCCTCAGTGAGTCTCTTTCCCCACTGCTCCAGGAAGAAGCACAAAACATGCAGCCACTTCAAAACCGTATT